CTCTTTACTCCTATTTTAGTTACTTTCCCAAAAACTTGACCGCATGAATCCAGTTGAGTTGTTTTCCCACCAGAAGCCACCTTCTTTTCTTCGCACGTGCCACCCATGCTAATCCCGCTCCTATAGAAACGCCAGCCCTTCTTTTCTTTCCTCCCCTCTCAAACGCGCCCTCTCTTTTCTCTCTGCTTTGCTTTGTTTTGCTTTGGCTCTGAAAGTCCAAGCTTTCTCCAATGGCCGAGCCAGCAACTATCACACCAGCTCCGCTGTTGAAGGATGAGCTTGACATCGTGATTCCAACCATTAGGAACTTGGACTTTTTAGAGATGTGGAGACCCTTTTTCCAGCCTTACCATCTCATCATAGTTCAAGATGGTGATCCTTCAAAGATCATCAAGGTTCCTGAAGGCTTTGACTATGAGCTTTACAACAGGAACGATATCAACAGGATTTTGGGTCCTAAGGCTTCTTGTATCTCTTTCAAGGACTCCGCTTGTAGATGCTTTGGTTACATGGTTTCCAAGAAGAAGTACGTCTATACCATTGATGATGATTGCTTTGTAAGCTCAAAACTCGTCTCTTTCCTCTCTTTGAATTTTCGTTTTTGTGATTAAAAGTCTTGATTTTTTTCTTTTTCTTTTTTTAAATTTATGTGGGTGTTTTTGAAGATCTGGGTTTGAGTCAATTTTTGGAATTGGAAATTGGTTTTATTTAATTTTACCGTTTTGCATGTGGTTAAGTTTGGATCTTGATGTGATTTTTTAGTGTTCCGAGCATGGAAGTTTAGATCTTGATGTGATTTGGGAATTTTGATTTTTTTTTTTTTTGGTATTTTGGTGACTTATCTTTTTTAAAAAACAGTTTTTATTTTAATGGAATTTGGTGGTACTTCCCTATCTTGATTTGCTATTTGGATCTGCCATTGTTATTTTTGGTTTGTTCCTGCTAAATTATAAATCCACCAGTTACACATCTGCTTGCAGTTTAGCAAATAACAGGTTTTGATCTGTGTTTCCTGAAATAATTTCAATATCTGTTAGCTTGTTGAGAAAATGACACAACCACTAATGATAAGCGGCATGTAATGAGAGACACACGTGCTACTTGATCTTTCCACAGCCATTGCTTTGTAATGTTGATATGAGTCATAGCGGCCTTTCCTAAAAGTGTGTTGAAACATAGTCTTTTGTTATTTTATCATGTTTGATTGTGAATTTTGAAATGTGGGTCTCTTTCGGATTCATCTGGGTTTATGTATTATCTGTTTGGTTTGAAGAGTTGAGATTTCTTTCTTGGCTTGATTGGTACATATATAAACCGATATGCAGTCTATCTTCTTTGGATATCAGTTTTGACTATCAGAAGCTGGTTTTAGAGCTTAAATTTTAAAATGTGCTTAAGATTTAGTTGTTTTCTCTTTGCATTCATTTGTTTATAAATGATGGGCCCTTCTTGTGCAAGTGTTATCAATTATTCTTAGATGCATTATTATGGGATCTGACAATGAAATGTTCTGATCTCTTCTGGTAGTCAATATTCTATACCTTGACATATATGTGAATCTGAAGTTTGAGGCTGCTTGGTTTTATAGGTTGCCAAAGATCCATCTGGAAAAGACATTAATGCATTGGAGCAGCACATAAAGAACCTTCTGAGTCCTTCTACTCCATTTTTCTTCAACACTCTGTATGACCCATACCGAGCTGGTGCAGATTTTGTACGTGGGTACCCATTCAGTCTCCGTGAGGGTGTTCCCACTGCTGTGTCTCATGGCCTCTGGCTCAACATCCCAGATTATGATGCTCCAACTCAGCTTGTCAAGCCGCTTGAGAGGAACACCAGGTATATTTAAGCCTTCACATTGTGTGCTACATATGTACTCATTTAAATGAAGACTAATCCTATCTAATTTCTATCAGGTACGTTGATGCTATTATGACAATACCGAAGGGAACCCTCTTTCCCATGTGTGGTATGAATCTGGCATTCAACCGTGAATTGATTGGCCCTGCAATGTACTTTGGACTCATGGGTGATGGTCAGCCAATTGGACGATATGACGATATGTGGGCTGGCTGGTGTACCAAGGTATCTTATCTTTCTTACTACCTTCTACCTTGACCTTCTGGTCTATCAATCTGCTGCTATTAGTGTACATGGTTGTGTACAAGCTTCCTATTAAAGTGCAGCTGTTAATAGCCTGTCTGTTCAAATGCAGGTTATATGTGATCACCTAGGATTAGGAGTGAAGACTGGACTGCCATACATTTGGCACAGCAAAGCCAGCAACCCTTTTGTGAATCTTAAGAAGGAATACAAAGGAATTTACTGGCAAGAAGAGTTGATCCCATTCTTCCAGTCTGTTACCCTTCCCAAGGATTGTACCACCGTACAGAAATGCTACATTGAAATCTCCAAGCAGGTCAAGGCAAAACTAGGCAAGGTTGATGAGTACTTCAACAAGCTCGGTGATGCCATGTTGACATGGATTGAAGCATGGGATGAGCTGAACCCGTCAGGTGCAAAATCTGCCGAGTTGCCCAATGGTGCTTTGAAGTAAACTTCTTCAGCAAACAGCTAGCATTTTGTTTAGCAGCCCCAGGATTGTATCACGATCATCCGTATTGTCCAAGCTTTTTCCTTAAAGTTTGGAATGTTTATTTACAGGTTGGGGAGGGGTGAGATATATTTTTATTCAACATGTTACTGAATTTAGAACAGTAAGAAAATTATGGCTTATGTATTGTATTAGATTTGCGATTTAGCTAGTATTTATTTATTTGGACTATGATTGAGATCATTGCCTTTGGAAAAAGTTATAGTAACAGATTTATTTAAGTGTTTTTCCTTTCTCGTCAGTTGGTTTCTGTTGACATTTTCTTTCCTCTGAAGAATGTTAAGTTGAAAGGGTAAACACCTTTACCCCTCTAGGCTTCTATAAACGAGTCAATGTGAGGTGAGAAGTCATCGCTGAATGAAGCATAGAAAATGGGCATTTCATAGCTGAAAGGATCAAGTTCTAATTCGTTGATAGTGGTTGGAACTTGATACCGGAAATCTGAATTGTCAACAAGATGAGTTAAGCCAATTTCTGACTGATGATTCGTGCTTGTTTCCTCTAATTAGGACCACAAGTTGTAATTGTCAGCAACGGTGGACATAGGATGATTCCACCCATACCTAATTGTAGTACAACTATCATGAAGCATTTGTTGTCACCTTCTGCCAAAATGATTTGAGTTAGGAAATGTAGTAGAAGGTTGCTATGGAGATACTGGACTGTTAATAAGAACGCATAAACAACCTTTTAGGCTTGGTTTAGCGGTTGTAATCTTCAAGCTTTTTATTTATTAATCTAATTTTCAAAAAAAAAATTCATAATTTGATGATAAAAAAAAGATTATAAGTGCTGAGATTTGGTTTAAGTAATTATATGAATAAATTAGATTAAATGTCGATTCCTTTATCGATCAATTTTAAAATTAGCATTAGTAGCTAGATGCCAATTCATGTGGATGTTTCCGCCAAATTTCCTACAAAGATTGGTAAGTTCTGCCAGCAGATAATTCAGTGAAGTACTGAATCTTTTCATAATGGCACAAAACTATCAACCAGCACAACCTTGGAAGTGCCACGAGCTGTTGTCTCGTCTGCATTGCCTTTGCCCCAATAAATTTCCATTCCCTGAGTTGTTTCTTGTGTTTTCATGTGCATGTCCCATGTGCTCTTTCTATAACCGCACCTTGCTTCGTTGAGCAGTGCATGGACAATGACATTCCAGCAAAGCATTTGGTTTCCCCCCAAAAAAACTTTGATCTCCTTGTTCTTGACTTGTAGTAACCATCGTGATCATCCAGCTAATTTGGATTTTGGTCCCATTGTCTCCCTACCGGCTTATAGGCAATAACAAGTGGCCCTATAACAGGCTTATAGCTTTGCTAATATAAGGGGTTAAAGTTATGTTTATCATAATACTATGATTCGATATTAAAATTTATTGTATTTTAATTTTATTAATTTTGACACCAAATAACAAATAGATGAATATATCAATCATATTATGCAATGTGATTAAAAAATCAATATAACCACATTATTAATCTATTAGTTAGAAATTGTGTTAAAGCCAAAAATGTGAAAGAAAATGTGAAAAAAGCAGATAATAAAAGACCTTTAAAGCCAAAAATATTGAATGAACTTAGGAATAGTGAAAAAAGGACAGCAATGCCGGAGATTGAACCTGGGTCACTACTGTCCTACTTGATGAAAATGGCAGTTTTGTAAATATTTTAGTTATACCATATCATGGTCATTGGCATTTAAACAGAGTCCCAAACTACAACTTTCTGTTTTCTTGTTTATATTAACATCTTAGACTCTTCATTTTTCTTGAATTATTTGTGCCCCAACTCAAAAGGATATCTAGGTTTAATCTTCCAAATATAAATATATATAATTTAACAAAAACAAATCCAGAAGCAATTGTTATTCTTTTGATCTTAACATCCAGAAGCAATACAAAAGCATAAAGATTAAAATCAATGTTTAATCAACATTTTGCAGAAATGGTGGTAATAGTAAACAAAGCCATTTCTCACAAATACAAGATTGCTACTATCACGGTAAATGGTGGTAATACGAAAAAAGTGTACATGCTATGCTAAAAATTCTTTTGGTGATAGTAGTATCTTTGTGATGGCAATAGCCATAGTTCTAGCAGTCCTTTGCTTTGCTTTGATATCTTTTTCTTATCATCTTGACGCATTATCAAATCACTATCTACATTATGCCTAAGTTGTTGATTTAATTCTACCAAACATGGTTTTAACAAAAAATTGTTTTACTAAAGCAAGCAAATATTTTCAACAAAGAATGACATGAATGTGATACATTAGCAAAAGTTGGTTTTGCCCCCGAATCATTTACTTGCCAGAGCATAGAAGCTAAGTCCAAATTCTCATCATACTTTAGAAAAAAGATTAAGACTGCACAATGAGGAACCACATGGTTTCATTTAAGCAATTATTCACACTTTTTGCTAAGGGAATATCACGTCAGCTTAAGTCATTTTTAATTATACTCAATTGTGGCTTAAAATTCAACTGATAAACTCGCTTATGCTTTCAGCCAAATTTTGTTTTACAGCGATATTGCTCCAGTTTCAATGAGGTATATGATTTATCAGAAATATCATATTGAAAATGATCTTAATAGTATAAAAAGGACAGGTCATACAATGAGGTATATAATTTATTAGGAATATCATATGAAAATGATCTTAGTAGTCAAAAAAGGAAAGATCCTAGAGCATCAACATTTCATCTTGTTAAAATTTTCCCCATTCCACTTTTGAGTAGATATTTTATGTATTCATCACTTAATATGATAATGAACATTTAACCATCTTTACTTTCCTTATATGATCTGTACTTAAGTGATTCGAAGGCAGCAGAACGCCTCATTTTCCTGCTTCACCTGCATAGATTGTCTTTGATGCTCCACTCGCTGAAGCTGTGATGAAAGCTGAAGCAAGTCAATAGTCGGTCCGTCTTCGCATGATAGGCGATCCTTGGCATTCATGAATTGAGAACCTTGGTAAATCCTATCAGTGATATCAAAGTTGGCAGCTTCATTACCATCAGATATCAGTAGGGCACCCAAGTGACTGCCTTCAGTTGAATTTATCCCTGATGAAGAGAACTTATTTGACACCCCAGTAGTTGAAGCCTGCGAGCTAACTCCAATGAGCTTTTCTGAGACTTGACTCATGTTGTAATGGGTATGGTTGCCTGGAATAACCAGGGAACGAGCCATGGGGATTCCTGATGAGTGGCTGGAAGAGTTCTGTGGTTGAGATGACAGAAGAGAGGGAGCACAACCAGAATCTGAAATCCCAGATAATCCTTGAATGGTTGATGCTGCATTGAAAACATTGATGTCTTCACTTCCTAACGAGGTGTCTTGGAATAAAGGGCGTGATCCAGAATTAGATCCGCCAAAATCATGAGGATATTGCGCATTGTTCTCACCCAAGATGCCTCCAGTCACTGTATTAGCTCCATGATCATGAAAAGAGGGAAAAACTTTCTCAATACCACTAGGAGGGTGGGGGAATTTTAAACGAAAATGCCCATTGGCGATGGAAATGGCAGAAAGAGGGCTATAATCAGTCCCATCTTCAACTTTTATCCGTTTGCCCCATTCATTTGTTACATACTTCTCAGGATGCAAAAGGCCACTAGGTAGTATATCTTGGCAAATAAAGGATGAAGTTGTCAACATAGTCCCATGAAATCTGCCACCAGCAAAGCCTGCATAATGTTGGGAGCATTTGTAAGATATAAAATTACAGAGATAATTCATGACACCAACAGAAATGCAAAAAGAGTGACAAAGGAAGGATCTTTTACAAATAATTTCATATTCTTAGCATCACAGAATTTCGTAAGTGTAGCAAATTATAAGATTACAAGAAAAAACATAGCTCAAATACTTGGGACATTAAAGTCCTCAGGAATTTTAGACATCATCCAGAACACTGAAAAAAATATAATGGAAATATTAACCAATCAAACAAAAAAAATTATTGCACTAAACTACATTACAAATTAAAAAACAAAAAGTGGGTAAAGCAAGGGTAAAAACCAGGAAGTTGAAAACATCATGTCCAGATCAGAATTTTCCACATATAGACAAGTTTGTAAATTCAGAGGAAGCTCCTTAAATTGGAAGAACAAAAATACCTGGAGGTGATAGTTTACTATACAACCAGTCAAAACACTTAAATTTTCAAGTGTTTATGAACTGAACTATCAATCAAGAATTAAAAACAATTCAATGTTTTATATTCACAAAGCAAGATAAGCAAACCATTATATCTTTAGCAAGCAATTCCAGATAATCTACTGAGTTTTAGCTTAGCAACAAAACTAATGTTTTTATGTTAACATGATGCCGAGTTGCCAAGGAAGTAAGAAATTGCAGGTCAAACACCTTTTTAGCAAAGTAGATATCCCCCTTCCCTCCACCCCCCCCCCCCCCCCGGGGCGGCTATGCACACACTGATTATATAAATGACTGAAATCAGGTATGATGTGGGTTTAGTACCATTATATTGCTCAAGTAACGTTCCAGTTCTCCCAGAGCGAACACCAACTTGAGGTTTTCTCCGCCGCTCGTTATGGCCAGCAAGGCGTTTACGACAGCTGCGCTTACCATCATCAAATTCAGCCAGCAAATGAAACCTGCATGGTGAAACGTTAGGACATATTATAGCAGGAATGAGGCCCAAGCACGGTAACTGAGCCAAGTTATAGGATAACAAAGTTGACCTTCAATGATATTTATTGAGAATCAAAATCAGGCAGTCTTTCAAAAACGTAGGTTTTATATTTTCCCTGAAATACATCTGGACAAGAGAAATCCATTGGAATAACCAGATGCTAGTTTTCTTTTTTTTTTTTCAAAAGGAGTTTGAGTAAAGAGATTGGAGCATATAAAGAGAAAGGGTTCATTATACAAACCCCCCCCCCCCCAACCCAAAAAACAACAAAAAAAGTTGGCAACAAGGAAAGCAAAACCTGGAAAAAAATTAATTTTAATTAACTATATAAAAAAACAAGATATAAAATTGAAACAATTCCAAGGTCCTAAAAACCCTGTTTTACTAATGAGAAGACAAGGGAAAAGGGATAAAAAATGTGAATATTACCATAATTTTGAAATTGACAAAAAGAGTACTGTTTTTTCGTTTTTGGTTTTATTTTCTATGCTATTTCGTTGCCAATTGAAGGAGCAAAAAAGGACTTCTATAAGCAAATCTGACCTGCTGCATTGTTGACAAAACCGTTGTTCAATTCCATTAACAATAACTTTTGCACTTTTTGAGTGAACATCACAAACTCTGTGCCTCTTGTGGTAGTCTTTTGAGGAAGTGAGATCCTTGTTACAGCCATAAACTTGGCAGTAGGCAGTATGAGAATGTACTCCTGCTGCTCGAACTCTCCTTGGGGGTGTAGATGACTCAGATGAAGATAAAATGGGAGGTCCTATAGAAAAACTAAAATTTTGACCATCTCTATAATCAGGAAATCTTCCCAGCTTTAAATCTATCAGTGAAGAATCCCGACTATTTGAGTCCACTACAGAGCTCGAAAGCTTCGAAGTAGACTCATTGTCCCCAGAAAAGGCATTCAGGGCAGCCATTATTGGATTTACAGTTCTTGCCCTACTAACTTTGCTACTTAAAACATCCCCAATTGAATCATTAGGTAACTGTTTTCCTATCAATTCTCCATACCCCAATTCCTCAAAAGCATGATTCTCAATTGTTTGTTGTCCTGAGACTGGCATGTTGCTACCAAAACTATATGGACCTTTTAACTCCCAGTTCATAAAGGCACATCTATTTCTTGCATAAGAATCAGAAGGAGAAATTGCTGCATCAGATGCAGATCCCTTCTCCCCAGAAACATAACTCCAGGACTCCATTACATGCAATAGAACCACCCAAGAACAAATTAAACCAAGTTCAATTCAAGAAAAAGCACAAAAAAAGCTATCTTTCTTAACCTTTTCACTGTAACATGATCTCCAAAACCACAGCTGAGTCTCAACAGTAACTCTTTATGGCCACTTCAACATTAACCAGGAAAGTCCACCTGAACAATCAAGATCAAGACAAGCAAAGAAAACCAACAAATTCTCTTCTTTGATGCACCAAATTTATGGAAAGTTCGAGTCTCTTGATTGCCGAATGCACTTAACAACCAAAAAAAAATGAAAACCCATTAGAGAAAATCAAAGACCCAAAAGAATAAACAGCAACAAGAATTACTTGGCAAACCAACTTGTATTCAATCAAGTAAAAAGCTGAGGAACAAAAGAACTAATGCTAAATGCAAGAGTAAAAACAAGAAATACAGAATGAAAATAACTTCAAAACAACAGTAAACAGCCCAGACACTAGAAGAAGAAAAAGCTCTTTACCGAGTTTACAAATAAATATATTACATATATAATAATAATTTATATAAAAGTTTAATAAAGGTTGCTCAATGATTATGAGAGAGAGAAAGAAAAAGATAGAGAAAGAGGTGTACTTTACCGGTATAGAGTGAAGTAATGGTACAATGAGAGAGAGAGAGAACACAAGAAACTCAGTGGAAATGATTTGTTGATGTCCCAAACTCCATGGAAGAAGAGAGCTTCTATGGTTGCTATTTTAACAGAACACAAAAAAGCTCTTTCTGCTCTTAAAACTACTCTCGAAGCTTTCCGAATTCCAACCTTTGTTTAGTAAGCATTGGAAATGGCTATGTCAACTCTTCCTTTTATGATTCCCAAAACTCGGACTTCGGACATTTATCTATTAGCCGTTTTAAAGCATAATATAATATGAAAATAATAACAAAACAATAAAATTTTAAATTTTAAAATATAACATATGAATTAATCAAAAATTAAAAAATATTTTTATTTGATGTGTTAATTTAAATTATAAAATAATAATTTCAATATTTTATTTTTATTTAATATAATGTAAATATATAAATTACCTAATAATTAAAGATTTTAATTTAATGACAAGAAAAAAGTTTTAAAATTCTAAAATCTTAAATTCAACGTGAATTTAATTATTTATATTTTAATTTGTTGAGTTTATTAATTGATTATTTAATAATATATTATTAAATTTTTTGTTCATGATAATCATTCCCTTTATAATATAAGTTGTTTTAGGTCTGATTTGAATACACGGTGAGAATCCTCCTTTGCCATCAAAATTTGTATTTTATGAATGGACTCAATCAAGCTTTACCCAATTATTACCGATACGACAAAGACGAAAAATAATAAAAAACAAATAAAATATGATGCAGAATTTTATATTTTTAATTTGCACAATATCTATAGAATATAGAACTTTTAAGAAGCATTGAACTTTCTTGTTATTTAAGTTTAACAATAATAATAATAATAATAATAATAATAATAATATCTTTTGTAGGAAATAAAAGCTTAGACTTTTTAATATCCCTAGCTAATACTATAATTTTATACCCAATTAATAGCTATTCTATTACTTGCCTAGATATGCTTCATCGACGTGCAAGTTAATTTAAACATAAATAGGTGTAATTTTTTCAAACTAACAAATATAAGGCGCACGAATTTTTTTTCTTTTTATCCATTAAAGCAAAAGAATATACAAGATTTCAAAATTTAACCGTTGAGATATCTTATTGGATTTAAATTCATAAGTGTTGATTTTGATTATTTATATAATAATCAAATTTAAATTTTAAGTATTGCTCAAATCATATGGAAGAAATTAATATATGCATGGCATGCAGTTTATATGATTAAAAAAATTAAATAAATATAAAAAAATAATTAACTCAATTAATTAAAATTTATTTTTTTAATAAAAAATTTTTAAATTTAAATTTTATCATGATCGTTTGTTAAAATTATTTTGATTATATTATTTATAATTATTTATTTAAATTATCAAATACGATATATTTTATTTTAAAAAATAAATAAACAAAAAATATCTAAAGATTAAATAATTTATTTATTTTTAAATTTTTTCTTAAAAAAATAAATAAACGAAAGATTAAATTCATGTTTAATATGGTGATCTGACGTACGACATGGCACTTAGTAAGGCCGAATTCAGAAAAGACTAGTAGCAGGCAAGCCATGCAAGAAAGAAGAGGAATGGGGGCAGTGGTTCAGTGAGAGTGATGTGTAACAAGTCTCAATGCAGTGTCAGGACAAATCATGCTGGGATCTAGAAGACAGGCCCCTCGTCTTTGCATTTAACGCTTCTTCCCTCACACATTTCCACGTCTTGCTGCACCTAACAATCCCTTTTGTCTTTTTCCATTACCTCTAAATGACGCGTTCGCATATGACTGCCTTGGTCGTGGTTTCCCTCGCCCATTAGCTTATCCATATTTGACGAGGGATTTTTTTTTAATTATTGGAGAGGAAAAAAAGGGTAAAATAAAATTATGAAAGAATTATTGTAGTATGTTTTTTAAATTATATAAATATTTAATGTAATATTTAAATTATAAAATTTTAATGTATTATTTAAATTATGAACTTTTTAATTAATATAATACTTATTTTTAACATAATTAATTTAAAATAATAATACATAATAAATAATTATATTTAAGCATGATATTTATTAACAAATTCATAATTTATATATTATATAAAAAATTTTAAAAACTTATATAATATATTGGTATTTCATATATTTTAAAAATCATTCACAATCCATGTAAGTTTTACAATAAATATAGTTTTTCAAGATTTTTATAAAAAATATAACAATTTCTTTTAATTTGAAAATACTCTTTTGACTTTTGAAGTTTAGTAAAAAAATTTAATCACCATGTAGATATCTTATTTGATCTAGGTTCGAATTAATTGGACCTAATTCATTAAAGCCTAATTACTCATTTTTATTTTATATTTATTTTTTGGTTTTATCTTTTCTGTAATGATTATTTATTTATTTATTATTAGCTTTTTATTATTGATTTATCTTTAGTTTTACATTATCAAATTAGGTATTAAAATAATAAGATAATAGTAAAAAATAATAAAAAAAATTTTTAAAAAGAGTTTTGCCGTGAATCAATAAGAGTTAAAATTGGATTTGATTTGTGAAGGATAAATTCTGGTTTTAAGATCTTGTCAAAGATTGAATTATAGTCAATTAAAAACTCTTTTAAGTATTCCTATAAATAGCAAGAGAAATCAACAAAAAAAAAAAATCATCAAGAGCAAAATTGGGAAAAGATAGCAAAAAAAAAAAAAAAAGGCAATCTAAGGGCATGTAAGGTAGCTGAGGGTTTCTAGGAAATTTTTTTTGTTTTGGCATAAAGTCTTTTTGAGAAATTTGGGAATGTTTAGTAATTGTGTTTGTGGAATCATGCTCAAAAGGATAATTTGTTGATTTTCGTTTTCTAAAAATTTTTGAAAATTTCAGATTCAAGCAAAGTTTATCAGTGACATTCATATTTCCGACCAAGTTTCCATAATCCAATGTGATAATCTAAAAAAATCGATAGATTTATCTAGTTCTTCTTGGTCTAGAGAGAAAGGCCAAAAAAAGTGGAAAAAAAAGTGAGAGCAGAGGAGATCTACAAAGGAAAGAAAATTTTGGTTTTATATACCTATCATAACTTTAGATCTAAGGATTTATCGTTAGATATTGACTTAAGAAATCACCACTAATCTTTTTGTTTAGGTACGATTGATCACTTAAAGAATCTATCTTTCAAGAAACACCCAAACTTGACTAAGGGTTCCTAAAAAAATATGTTCGGGTCTATTAATCAAGACAAGGTTTGAAGTACGGTTACGTATGAGAATGTTGTAGCACCCTACAACGCCCATTGAAATATGGTACCAATTTAATTTCGTGTTATCCAATAAGTCTTAAAAATTTATCAAGTAATTAATTATTAAAAATTATTCTTAATTGATTACCAATACTTTTGACAAAAAATTAAAAAAATTTTTCTCACCTCAAAAAGTATGCAAGAAAATTACTATTTCACTTGCAGAGATTCCATCATTGAATTATTAAAAAAAATTCAGGAAAAAAAATAAAAAATAATGATTCAACTTTAGATATAAATCATTTTCTTTAAAAAAAATTATTGCTTTTGTACAAAAAAATTGATACTTTCAACTTTTCTTTAAAACATTTTTCTTGACAAAATTTTTTTTAAAGAAAAATTGGTACTTTCAACTTTTTCCTAAAATGTATTTTTTAAAAAATTTTATTTTTTTAAGAAAAATTGATACTTTCAACTTTTTTCAAAAATATTTTTTTAGAACACTTTTATTTTCTAGAAAAAATGATATTTTCAACTTTCCAAAAAAAAAATCTTTTAGAAATTTTATTTTTAAGAAAAATTTATACTTTCAACTTTCCCTCAAAAATATCTTTTAAAAATTTTATTTTAGAAATTTTATTTTAAGGAAAATTAATACTTTCAACTTTTTCTCAAAAATATTTTTTTGAGAATTTTATTTTAGGAAAATCATTAAAAAAAACTAAAATAAAATAAAATTAAAAAAAGGAATACCAAATAATTCTAATTTAAAAATAATAATAACAACAACAACAATAATAATAATAAAAAATAAATAAAAAAAATATTAAAAAAAATCTTGAAACGGTTTGGCTCGACTTGGATTCGGCTCAGTTCGAAAGACAGAAGCGGTTCAAAGGTGCGACTCGAAGAAAAACGGCTTGGCTCGGCTCTGCTGAAGCCCAGGCAAAGACGCAGGTCGTGCTACGGGTCGGGTCGGATCTTGGCAAAACGCGCGGATCCTGAGTTTATTAACGCCCAAAACGACATCGATTTATGAAGGTATATAAGGTCAAAATCGGTTCTCTCTTCAATTTCACTTTCCCTTTCTCTCTCTTCCCTTCTTTTTTCTCTTCATTCTCTCTCTACCCGTAAAGAACACCAGTGAAATTCTCATCAATTTTTGAGTTATTTCGTTGAAAACTAGGTTTTTCATTGAAAATGTCACCGGAAAACTTGAATTTCGTCAAAAAATTGATCGAAATTTGAAAATTCCAAAAATTTTTCATGGAAAAAAAATCGTCAAAATTTTTTTAAAAAATCTTAAAAACACTTTTGAACTTTCTAAACATTATTTTTTGCGTTTCTTTTCTCTCCGTGTGTTTCGGTGTACCTTTTCTGTGTATTCCAGCATCATTTATAGAGATTGATCAGAAAAGTTTCTAATCAATCTCAATTTCATCTGGGATTGAGATTCAATCTTTGAATCCAATTCAAATTCTACTAGCCCCAAGATTCACGGCAAAGTTTCTTCTAGAAAAAAAATCATATATAAATCAATAATAATTAAAATGAAATTTAGAACAGATAAACCAAAAGAGAAAAAAAATAATAATAAAGATAAAAACTGAAAAT